AGGCCATCCCAAGAGAGCAGAAAGCCCCCCTCTGACTGAGCCCTGGACATCAAATGCAATGACCTCCCCACACTCTACTTGCAGGGAAGCTGTGGATTCCAGGGCTGATACAGAGGAGGAAAGTCTAGCCCCCCTCTTGGCAGGAAGTAGACAACACGCAGAGCAGAACAGAACATTGCCATGGGAGGCAGAATCATAGATAGAAACATCTGATACAAATTACCACAAAATAGTGCCAGCCAGATAGCTCAACAGACTAAAGCACCTGCTTAGGCAGGTACAGGGACCAGAGTTGGATCCTCAGCATGCAGTGCCAGCCCTGCCTTCGGGGTGCTGAGATGGCAACCAAGACTGGACGTGGAGGTGCGCACCTGTAATCCCAGCGCTTGAAAGGCTAAAAACAGGAGGATCACTACGCATTCAAGCTGTGTAGTGAGACACTGTAGACCCTGTACTAAATACATTAAAAGATAATAACAATAATAAAAGATACAAATTATCACAAAATAAACAGATGTTCCATAAAATCTCAAGTAGAGCTAAACAGAAGCAGTATGCAAAATATATGCACAGAAAATAAGTGCAAGGGGTGGATGATGGAAACTGAATCATGCTCTCTGGGCTCACAAAGTCCCACCCTGAGGAACACACCAAGGAAATGGTGTTTTCTGGCTGTACAGTGCAACAGTAATGCAATCAAGACAGGCAATGTACCCTATAGCAGGTGAGATCATAGCAGCACAGAAAGTCAGCTAGCCCCAGGCATGGAAGAAAACACATCTCAAGAGGAGACAAACTTTGCCCTGAGTCATGAAAATGGAAGCTGTTATCCTGCAGAGCACAGGCAAGGTACCCAAGAGCATGCTTACTTTTCACCAAGCCAAATTCAGTCTACTCTTAATTCTCTTCACCTTGAGGAAGAAGCAAGGAGACAATACGGACACATCTGGGAAGTGGCCTTGCATTGTTCTGGACCTCGAGAATCATTGTGGAGCACAAAGAACTCAGTCTTGAGCCTCCTACCCCATTTCTTACCCTGATAGACTCACTCCTCCTTTGGCAAAGGATTTTAAAAGTGTGTCTAATGTTGGGATTTAGACATAGGCTTACATGGCTGATGGTCTGAGGAATTCACTAGCAATGTCTGCTTAAATCACCACTGAAAGAAAATACTTCAGGTAGGGAAGGAGTCTGATATGACTCTCATGTCTGAGTCACTTTCTTTTTGCTGGGACAAAATACCCAACTCCTGCAACTTATAAGAGGAGAGATTTGTTTGGGCTTATGGTTCAGAAGTCTCAGTCCATATTCAGCAAAGGTAAACACAAATACGGCCCTGAAGAAGCAGGAAGGAAGCAGAGAGGAAGGAAGATGCCCCCTTCCAGGCCATAGCCTTAGTAGCTATCTTTTCTTACGAACTTCTACAGCAAAGCAGTGTAGGTCCCCTTGGTCCAGTCCTCTTCCAACAGCCCTGCCTAGGTGCAAATGAGGCTTTTGGGAAGCATTCTCGATCTAACCCATAACACCACATAACTCCACAATCAGACCAGGGAGAGATCTAGAGATAGAGAGCATATGAGGAATTCCCACACAGCCTCGCCTGGCTCCACACAGCTAGTGTATTCATCTGGTCTACATATGCCCGTAACTTAGTAACTTCAGGTGAGTCACCTTGAACCCGTGAAACTCCAAACTCATCCAGTGAAGAGACAACCCACAAAGTGGGACAAAATTTTACCAGCTACTCCTCAGACAAAGGACTAATATCTAGAATATATAAAAAATGACAACAAAAAAATTAGATTGGCCAGACTTAAAGATCCAATCCAAAAATGGGTATCTGAAATTAGTAGACATTTCTCAGATGAAAAAGTACAAATAGCAAATAAATACAGGAAAAGTTGCTTGCTAGTCACTTGAGAAATGCAACCTAAAACAACACTGAGATTCCATCTCACCCCAGAAAAAAATGATTACCATTAAGAAATCAACCAATAATAAATACTGGAGGAGCTGTGGAGGAAAAAGAACTCATCTCCACTCTTGGTGGGAGTGTAAACTGGTACACCCACTGTGGAATGCAGTGCAGAGCTTTATCAAAAAACAAGTGTAATGGTTCTAGTAGGCTGAGCTATTCTCCTTTTGGGCATCTTCCTGAAAGAGTTAAAAGCATCATACCACAGTGATACACACACATCCATGTTTATAGCAGCACAATTTGTAATAGCTAAATCTTGAAAAGGGCTCACATACTCATCAATAGATGAACAGAATAAAGAAAGTATGGTTTTTGTGCACAGTGGAGCTCTCCTCTGCTGTAAAGTAGGATAAACTTGAAACATTTTTAGGTAAATTGGTGCATCTTGGGACAATAATTTAAGTGAAATAAATTGGACACAAGACCAAATATTGTATTGTTTCTCTTGTGTGAGAAATTCAAACGGGAATAAGGAGCAAACTGGAGGATAGATGTTGGGTAGTAGGAAGGACAGATTCAAATGAGAGGATCGAGGGGAGAGGGGGGAAGGAAGGGAACAGAGATTTTTTTTTAAAAAAATTAATTGAAGGAAAACAACAGAAGCAAAATCTTGTAAATGAAGAGGGGAAGGAATGTTGAGAAGGGAAATGAATGGAGAAAAAGATACATATACAAGTACAAATTCCCTCGGATTAATGTAATCATTACATAGGTCAAAAATAAAATTAATTTTTAAAAACCTTTATGAAATATTTGCTGAGCACCTAGGGGCTTACACCATAGGTCTACTAAGGCTGTTCTCCCAGGATTTTAAGTCTTGTAGCAAACTCTGGGTCTTGTAGCAAACAGCGTGGACCACTGTAATATACCAGAGCCTGGAGAACTGATAAACAGTGGCTTTATTTTCTCAGCAAAGAGGGCTGAGGGTCAGGCTCCAGCAGGCGCTCTTGCCTGGATGTGGAGCTCCATTCCCAGGGAGTCTTGGGTTTAGCCCACAGCAGTCCAAGCATATATAAACACTGAAGTAAATATGTATGCATGTATAAATATATATTTTTTAAAACTATGTAACATTACAGCTGGGGAGGTAGCTTGGCAGCCTAAGTGCCTGCCTGGCAAGCTCAAGTACCTGAGTTCAATCCCTGGTACTGCACACCATGTCAGCTACTGAAACCGGGAGTGGTGGCACATGCCTGTAATCCCAGAGTTGGGGAGGCTGAGACAGGAGGATCACTATGAGTCTGAGCTGCATAGTGAGACCCTGTACCAAATAAATAAAAGATTTTTTAAATTTTTAAAGAATATGTTACATTACACATAGGCCCTGATTTCATCCCCAGTAGGGACAGAGGAGGGAGGCAGGGAAGAAGGGAGATACTAATATACAATTTAACAAAGAATGAAATGTTCCCAAATTGTTAAAACTAGTTTGATTGGGTCCATTTCTACGTCAGGTACCAGGGTTAAAAAAGATTCAGTGCTGTGAACCCGCAGCACTGAAGAGAGAATTGTGAATTAAGTTTGCGAATTTCGAAGGTTTTTTTTAAAAAAAGCTTGGGGAGGTTTGGGGAAGTACTGCAAACGAAACATCCGGAGGGACGGCAGGGTGTGCTGCACGGCACCAAGCACCAAGCGGTGCCGACTGCCTTGTGCTGTGACTCCCCCAGGCAGGGCTGCAGTGGGGCGCCCTGAATGGGCACAAGTGCAGGCCCGCAGCAGGACCCCTGGAACAGGGAACGGAACGAGTGACAAATGGAAACATGGCATCCGGCGGGCAAGGAGGTGGTCATGGCTGGGCGAGCAGAGTAGAAGGGAGGGGCTGACAAGGTCAGAAGAAATTATCTAGGCAAATGCTGCGGTGTCCCCGCCCCCAAAGCAGGCAAGCAGGCAAGCAGGCAAGCAGGCAAGCAGGCAAGCAGGCAAGCAGGCA